TCTGCAACTGTATTTGATAATGTTTTGAACTTTTAAAATATTGCATGGTAAAAGCAGAAGCTTCACTTCATATTAGTGACAAATGTTGGTGTTTTTTGATGAGTTACTTTCATTTTTGCCTTCCACTTTTTATTTAAAATACGTTTCCATTCTCGGCATGTTTCTAAGGTTCTTCTTCTACGTATTAAAAAAAGGTTGTTAGATAACTGAGTGATGCACTACCGCTACTAGTGGTGAGAAAGTGAATTGCACCTTAGTCAAAATCAATGCAGTCCCATGGCCCTCTGCGGCCCAGAGTTAGAAACTGTTGTTCTTTTGAGGCCCTCAAGATGGCGCTTGCGGCCCACAATTGGGTCGTGGCCCATGGGTTAAGAATCTCTGACCTAGAATACGGCTTTTTAAGTTGTGCACTTAAGAATAGGCAATAATTTCCTAAAACTGTCAGAGAAACATGCAGTCACATGGCTTGCTATTTGCTGTTGACAATGAGGAACACATATTTGTATTAATGAGTGTTTTTGGAGTGAAGCGGACTTCAGGTCCAGAGCCTGTAGGGAAGTGTCTGTAACAGTTTCTCATACCGTTACTTGTTTTTCCAGATTATTCCACCTAAAGGCTGGAAACCCACAAAGTCTTACGACAACATGGATGATCTGGTGATTCCTGCACCTATTCAGCAGGTGGTTACAGGCCGGTCAGGATTGTTCACACAGTACAACATCCAGAAGAAACCCATGACGGTTCAGAAGTTCCGCAAGACCTCCAGCTTAGACAAGTCTGTTTATATACTTGCATCATTTATTTATTTAGGTTTTTTTTTATGGTTGTCAGACTTGGATTTCATTATTTTTATTTGGAATTAGATTTTTTTTCTTCTCTGAACATTATGTACTGTAGGTTTCGCAGTCCCAAATATGCAAATTTTGATGAGCTGGAGAGGAAGTTTTGGAAGGACCTGACCTTGAACCCTCCACTGTATGGTGCTGATGTCAGTGGGACACTTTATGATCCAGTAAGTGGTTTTCAGCTTAAAAAACAAACCAACACAGCATCTTTTAGTTCTGTTTCCATACTGTCTTATAGTTTCTCCCTTTGTGTTCAGTTTGAGCTTTGCTAAAACCTGCTGTTTTCTGTCAACTCTTCTTTTTCCCAGGATGTGGCTGAATGGAACTTCAGTCATCTTAACACCATCCTGGACACCGTGGAGAGCGAGAGTGGCATCAAGATCAAAGGAGTCAACAGACCAAACCTCTACTTTGGGATGTGGAAAAGTGCTTTTGCCTGGCACACAGAAGATATGGATCTGTACAGAATCAACTACCTGCACTATGGAGAACCAAAGTCATGGTACAGTCACTCATGGATCCTTCCACTGCAGAGAGGAAACGGGTCCACCTGTTTTTAATTATCACCACTGACTGACATGTTTTTAGTTCCGGTGAAAAGCACGTGAGAATGTAAAAGTGGTGTTTCACTGGGCTGCAAGTGTTAAAATTTAGCAAATTTATCATTGCAGTCTCATTGAATTTTGAGTGCTTGTGATTAGGGAGCTGTTTTTGGGCAGTTTTAGGTTATTTTTGTGTGCACGGCTTGCAAAACTGGCCATGCATATTATTTTGTTGCCCAGCTCCATTTATCCATTGTATCCACCTAGGAAGCCACCACGTTTGTGATTTAGTCTACAAGAGTTCACTTTAAGATGTGTTGTAGTCAAGACCACCTAACCCGAGACCAAGTCAAGACCAAGACTAGGGGGAAAAAACAGCAACTAGTGTCCTAAAACATACAGTATACTATACACAGGTATCTAACTTAATATGTAAGGCTAATATTGACTAAAACTTGCATAAAGAATTTTTGGTACAGAGGCTTATAGCTAACGTTAGCTAGCTTTGCTAACATCTTTTACACACAGCTTACCTTTCTTTGTACTTACTTTGTAAGTGATGATAAAAGTTTGACGTTGTGTAAGATCGGTCTTGAATACTTTAACACAGACTTCTCAGATGTTTTCTGTTAGAGGAGAACTCCCATGTAGGTCTACCTTTGAGCCTGTGAGACAAACTCAGGTTTTAAAATACCTACAAGTAAATTTGACTACAAGGGCTACAGACCAAGGTTATATTAGTTTTGGACTTTTCATTATAGTTTAGTTTTTTTTTTCATTGTGACTTTTTTTCTTTTAATTCAGTTGGTTTTAAATTACGGTAGTTTTTACAGTGGATTTGCTAGTCTTTATTTATTATTGATTGTTTAATGCTTAGTTTTAGTTTAGTTTTTATTAGTTCTAGCATTAGTTTTTTCTAGTTTATTTGCCAATGCATCCTGAAGCTTGTGATGTTCCTGTGAGTTAGCTAACCAACAGCTATTTGGTCTCTAATGCAGTCCATTATAGCGACACCTTCCTAAAATAATTGTGTAACTCAATTTTGCCAACTAAAAACTTGGGTGATTATTTTAGGATGATGATAATAGTTGTTTCCAACCTGGTGCTACCTGTTGATTGTTTACACTGGAGCTACTGAGAGAAGCTAGCGTGAGATAGTCACAGTTAGCATCTTGTGTGAGCTTCATTCATGCAGTTTTTCCCTTGAGAAACATCCCACCTGTTTTATCACCTGTTTCCACTACAAGACACTTGCTTTGATTTTTCTCAGTCAAATTCAAAGAAATCACAAAGTGAACGTTGCTGCTTTCTCCCAACTTTTGTTGTCATCATTTAGCAGACGGTGCTGAGCAGCAGCAGACTGTAAACAAGTGTTGTTACAGACCACAGCTAATGTGAAACTACTAGATTTAAAGCTCCTGTGAAAAACAATGAACAGGTAGCACCAGGTTGGAGACAACTATTGTCATAGTCATTAAAAAAAAGATCCACACAGCTCAAAATAAATCGACAAATGCTAAAACTAAGGAAATTCTGTCTATAATTTCAGTTAGTTTTAGTTAGTTTTGTAAAAAGAATATACAGTTTTAGTTATCATTTTTTCATTTTGTTACAGTTTTTATTTATTTTATTTAACTAAAATGTTTTTTCAATTTCAGTTTTCATTTTTTAGTTAGTTTTAGTTAACTGTAATAACTCTGCTGCATGTGGTGGAGAAATAAGTGACATGGCTGCTAAAAGTTCAACCTGTTTCTTGCGATTTTGAGTCGACAGCTAGACTCCCAACAGTTGCAGCCCAGTTTAATATTACCTTTGATGAGCTTTCTAAATAAACATCCCTAAATTCAAATGTAATAACTGCATTTTTACTAAAACAGTAAACCCTCAGATCAACTAAACCAAAAAATGTTTTCCTTTCAGCAAATTCTGTATATATTTTTTGGAACTATTTGCTTGTTATGAGTAGAAACTGATTTATCCAGATTGATTCTGATCATTTAGTTTCTTTACTTTGCTACAAGTATCCCTAATTATATTATGTTTGATATAATTGTGTTTATATTTTGGTGGTTCTAAGGTACGTTGTGCCACCGGAACATGGGAAAAGACTGGAACGGCTTGCCAGAGGTATGTGATACAGCTTGTATGTTTTTTAACAGATCTCACATGTTCTAATTTTACTAGCGGATGATTTAGTCTTAGTTTTTAGAGTACGTGTTTGAAAAGACTCAGCTAATATCAAATCAGTTTTAGCTTAATGTCTGTAAAGATCAATGTGTTATAGCCGTTTATGTTATGAATAAGGTTGATTAGCTGTGCTCTCAATCTTGAATGGGTTTGACTCCAAATGTTAATTGCTGAGATCACTGAACTATCAGGGAGCACAAAGTTAGTTTGATTTTATTGCATAAGCATTGTAAGATTTTATAAATAATATGCTAGCCATATTGCTCACGTTTCTTTTGGACGTTTGTTTCCAAATCCTCACATCTAAGCAGAGAGCTTTATTTACAGTCTGACTGGATTCTTCACAGGGTTTTTTCCAGGGAATGCTCAGAGCTGTGAGGTCTTCCTGCGCCACAAGATGACTTTAATTTCACCTCCAATCCTGAAAAAATATGGTGTTCAATTTCAGAAGGTAAGCCTGCTTTACTTTATAATAAAATACAAATGAAACAAAATAATCTAACAGCATTTTGTCGCCCAAAGCTGAAGATGGATGTTGATGTTGTGTCTCATTACAATCAGTGCTTCATGAGGTATTTCACTAATGACAGCAAAAGAATGATTAAACTTGGTTTATTGAACAAATATAAATTAGAATAATGGGTATTTATGTAAATTTTATTTGTTGTTGTTTCTGTTTTGTTGTATTTTTGTAACCAGAAGATTATTATTTCTTCTTTTTTCTTTGTAAAAAGGGGCAGAT